GGAAAACGAAGGGAGATAACGGCTGCCGGAAAAACGCGGCTCGGCTGAATGGAGGGAAATAAATGGCAGCGAGGTTGCGGGTAAGGCAGTGTATGCGCCCGAGTCGTCGACGAAAACGAGAGTTAACTCTCGAGTCTGTGCGAGCATTTCGCCGACGGCATCGCAAAACAAACGCGCGTGCATCGCTGTTTCGACTGGTCCAGAAAGAACGAGCCTTGAGGGGTGAGGCTAAGCCTCGCGATGCCTACATATAAGGCTGACGTTCTGTATAAATTATTACGGCGTGTTAACGTTATGGTTTGGCTTTGCTCCCCCTTCAGAGCTTGTGACTAAGCTTACTTCAGAGACACAGCTCGGCCAAAAAGCAGAGAGGTTCGTTAAGGCCGTACCAACGACGAAGTCGTGTCGTAACGAAGGCGCGTAAACGGCCGCGTCCCTACGTCTTCAAAGGCCAGCCGCCCATCTTGGTTGTGGCAGTATGGCGCCACGGAGATTAAGTGAAGTGAAATGAAACCGATACGCTTTGGTATTGACGTCGTCCGTCGCTTCGGGTTTCAAATGGCTCCGAGAACTGCTGCCAACACGTCGGTTTGGCCGCACCAGGTGGTCGGTTAACAGCTGATGCCAGGAGCGATACGGTCTACTAGTGAGACACGTAGTATTAACAAGCCGTAGGTCAAGGACCGGAAGCGCTCTGTAGCTGAAAACTGTAATCTTAAAACAAAGGACACAACTGCGCGCACGATTAGATGAATTTTGCGTGCACACTTAGGAATATGCAGCATGCGAACGCTTCAAACAATGGTATTTTCTGATCAAATCTCTCGCATGTCACTGAAATGGCCATGGTTACAAGTTATTACATGCTATGAGAAGCTCACCCGCTCTTTCGTTCTGAAGGAATTTTAGTAGATGACTACAAGGGACGCTTCAACTTAAGTTGAAACATACTCCTACAGTAAGTAATAGAAGTCCCAGCTACAATTGATCTTTTGCTCAATGAAAATATAGGCCAAACGATACGTGTAGTATTCGCCTTTTTCTATTCTCTGGACACGGTCCGTACGCTATCACTGATATGCAACGAACAAATGTTGCAAGCAATCCTCACACGCCTATGTGCGACGCCTGGAAGTCAGGAAGAAAAGGAACGAAAGGAAAAACAAGGTGAAAAAGTTTTCGCATGGAAAGCCCAACATGACACATTTACAGTCTCTTGTGTTGGCATTCTGATTCGGCCAAGCTACGCGGCGTTCTGCGATGATGAATCGGTAAGCTGGTTTCTCAGAAGTGCCACCGGTATCGCACGCTTTCCATCGTATCTTGTTCATGTCGAATTGACTAAGTTATCGAGAACTAAGGCGAGAATGCGGAGAATTATGGGAGCGTTCCTATAGGTACGGCTCGTGTATACGCAAACGGTCGGTTTTTGTAGTGGATTTTCGACTTTGAACCTCCGCAGTGTATACTGTACCCTCTATACCTGTGATAGCCAGCTCTCCCAGCTTCTAATACGGCACGCATGTTTTTAGTTGAACAGTATTGGAATTACCCGACGAATTAGTCACCTCAACGGCCGAATCATGTGTGGATCATGGGCCAATCACCATTTAGTAGCTCCTCCGACAACTATTCGTGGCACCGCAGACGCTGTAACGCGTGTATTAGAAACACAATTGAAGCACGAATGATCGGTGTTATTCGCAGTGCTCCCATGATTCAACGACTCACATTGCCGGGGAGCTAAACGCGGTAAGAACTCAGCCATTGGCGCGACCGTTGGTGCCGCATTTACTCGGTCTGTGCGCGCTCCGTGCAGTGTCGATGAGCCAGGGATCACAAGCTTCGTTGTACACCTATCGTGATTGGGCCGATGAAGATTGATTGATAGATTGATATGTGGGGTTTAACGTCCAAAAACCACCATATGATTATGAGAGACGCCATAGTGGTGGGCTCCGGAAATTTCGACCATTTGGGTTATTTAACGTGCACCCAAATCTGGGCACACGGGCCTACATCATTTTTGTCTCCATCGAAAATGCAGCCACCGCAGCCAAGATTCGATGTCGTGACCTACGGGTCAGCAGCGGAGTACCTTAGCCACTAGACCACTGTGGCGGGGCAGGGCCAATGGAGAGAGCAACACTGTTCGTTGAAACACTGTTCTTGCTGATCAGTTTACAGGAGAGCAGCGTGATGCGTCAATTGGTGGTCCCTGCGGAGTCCCGTCTCTCAATCCAACAAGCACGCCGGGGGCAGCCGTAATGAATTGGCCCCGACTGGCCACTTTCTGACGGTGTAAATCTGAGGTTGCTGCGGTGGGTCGACAACTGGTTGGGAAGAAGGCGCGGCGGGAGGGTTTCACCCGAAAGTTGCGCGGCCAGCTGACCTTCCTGATGCACGGCGACCGCTTAGCGTCGCTGTGTTCCTGTGTGTAGTCAACTCGGTGAAAGAATATCCCATCGTAGATTAGGGAAGATGCATTAGCTTGGCATTTAATTAGTGGCAGCGGTGTGGGCCGGCACCCGTCCGCCCTTTTGAGAATCAAGTAGATGATGTATGGGTGACGGCGTGGCGGTAGGTCTTCATTAACGAAGGCGAGTCTCATTTTGTGGCGCCGAAACCATATATATGCAGCAGACCTGTTCCTCTAGACTGCTCTCCCAGGCGTCCCAACTCTTCGCAATTCATTCCACCGATAATTAGCACGCACGCGCGCGTAACTAGGCCTTAGTCTGTCTCGCTGCTTCTCCTATACTATTACTCGTTGACAATCGTAGGGTAACCTGCAAGCTAATGAGTCCGAGTTCACTGGCTCTCACCGAGAAAGAGTGAATTGAGAGTTTTTGATTCACAACCATTTTCATCCATCAACTACTTTTGATAACAATATGCCCGAAACTACGAGTGAATGACATTCTCCTCTTATGAACAGCTGTAACGTTAAGATGTATTTAGTGTATGTGTTGTTCGCTTCGCATTCGCTGTAGTTAGTACGCGGTGCTGTGACTTGCACTCGTCGCCCACATGTTGTCCATCATGAGAAGCATAGATGGGGCGCGTTCCCATGACCTGCAACTTGAGTGCTTTTCTCTCGGAACGAGCGCCAAGCAGCGGGAAGCAACATGAGGAAAAGAGATGGCAACTTGTACGGTCCGTGATCTATGATCTCTACCATATTTATATACAGGCATTCGGATGCTGCAAGGCCACTACAATCACTTGCTCGCCGTATATCTCTCCTACAATGGAATACGCAGGGTTTCTCCAACACGCACCTTTATTCGATCGACCCAAACTTGCAACTTCGTTTGCCATCCGGGCTCCCACGATGCGCTGAAACTTTACTGTGTCACATGAGGTTGGGCGTGGCATTTACGAATTCGTACTCTCGTCTCCTTGGAATGACAAGCACTTCGACATGCAACATATGCGCCTGCGAGGAAACGCTTGAGCACATTCTATGTCATTGCCCAGCATACAAGACCGAACGACGTATTATGGAAGACAAGCTCTGTCAGCTGGATTCACGGCCGCTTACAGAAGAGAAGATCCTGGGACCTTGGCCGACGGCTTCCCATACGCGCAAAGCCACGAAAGCCCTTTGTACTTTTTAAGGACCACCAGACTTCACGACCGCTTGTGAAAGAACAGTGCGAGACCGTGCTGTGTAGTCTCGAGCTGTCTATTCATGCTTCTCTTCCTTACTCCTCCTCTTTTCTATCTCTTTCCGTTCTATTATTCTCCTTTTCCCCCACCCCAAGTGTAGGGTAGCCAACCGAGCCAAGCTTGGTTAACCTCTCTGCCTTTCCTCTCTATTTATCTCTTTCTCCTCCATGTTGGCTCATTTGGGGTGGTGGCGCGACCGACCAACCTCGCAGCTAGTGACTAAGCGATCAAACCGCTAATTCTTTGCTGCCCTTCCATGGAAAGACGGCAGTAAGCATTCATCCGCCAACTTCTTCTGTGAAGGACGCCACTTCCCCTCTCTTCAGTGAAAGTGACCGAAAGATCAATGCGTCAGCAAGTGCAACGACTATTCGGCGACCATGTGTTATTGGCTGAGGCCATGGTGGGTGTCATGTGCGTGATTGGTGTTTTAATCTAGGAGAAGCCGTACAGGGCTCAAACAACGCTGCAAAGTGCAGGAACTCACTCTAAATCATGGTTTAACGGTTCATCGACCATGCTCGTGGTTTGCGGATATCTAATTTACTATGTTGTACTCAGTGTCAGTATTTGTTTTTCCTTTCCCCAACTAGTCAGCATCGCTTCCTCCACCCGGAGTTGTTCCACGCTACCACAGGAGTCCGGGTCAGACGTAACCCTGACGTTTCGGCAACCCACGTCAGCGGGGACGCGTCGGGTAGACCACGGCCCGCAACAGCGGGCATCTAGCCAGGCCCGGAAGGTCGCTTTCGTATGTGAAACAGCGACACTGGCGACATAGCGTTGACATTTCGCGAGTCACGCTACAAGCATTACAGAAAGGCAGGTACATGGAGGTTCGTCTCGCATCCTTGTTCTGCGGGATTTCACCAAAGTTCCGAAATAAATGCTGTTTCAAAATTACTTTCCGCAAAAACAGCTGCAAAGAAGCTACGTCGTACTGCGGCAGCACTCTGAAGCGTGTTACGTTACATAGTCACACCTTCATAAACAGCAGGAAGATTCGCATAAGGATATATGGTGTGAGTTCTGAAGCAATCGTAGGGGTTACGACCGTTTCATCCGAGCTGCAAAAAATACGGCTACATCAACAATAAATAGGGTGAGATGCACCGTGAAGAAGGCCGGACACATGGACGAAGACACAGGACCAGCACCCGTGACGCGTATTTTTCACTGTGTCCAGTGTTCACGCTGCTTCTCCACCAGCTAGCCCAGTCAGCCATGTTACACCAGCGCATATCGACAACGCCTGTAGGTGCGCCACTACTTGACCACAGATTACAAAGCGTAAAAGTTCAGGATGAGAAAATAGGTCACAAACTTACGTGGCCAATTTGTTTCTTTAGTTCCTCGGTCCTAGGGTCCCGCATAGGGTTGTCGAAACCGCAGAGGCCGATCCTGTAGGAACAAACAAGGTATTCACGTCAGAAACAAGGTACAGTAAATTATGGGGACTTTTATTTAACTACTCAAATAAAAGCAAGCAGATGACTATGCCAGCGCCAACCACATTCCACATGATGATGTGGGACCTAGTTAGTTGTGTGTTTAGAACAAGTGGTTAATGATTTAAAGCACTTAGTGCTCTACTATGGGAGAGCATAGAGCCATCCCGTGGGCCTCACACTAGATTCTTTTTAGAAAAAAATGTTTAGCAATTTCGAGTACTTCGTACTCGGCTATGGGAGATTTGACAGACCGCGGTGTAACCCGAGGTTGTTCTTAATGCAGCTGCAAAGGCATTGACGAAGTGATGCATCGCAAAATCCTTCATAGGTGACCAGGTACGAGCATACGATAAACGAAGGTTTAGGGTGACTATAAAACGAGTGCTTTGTGTATTCCAAACGAAGTGTACTGGTGCTCGAGGCGCAAAAAAAAATTAGTTAATAAATGTGATCGTGATCATTTACTGATTCACGACGTTTAACATCCCAATACAATACGGGAACTGCCATTGCGCTCATAATAGAGAGCTATAAAATAATTTTTGACCAGATGTAGTTTACGAACGCCGAACATGAGAGTTCATACGTTTCAGCCGAATACGATTACGGCCGTCAGCACCGGGAATCGAACGTACGACCTCGTGCTGGGCACCAGGACCACTGATAAACACTTCTTGTTGCGTAGATTAAGATCAGCTGTTCGCTAAACCATTGCACGGCACCATCTAGCCATTCTATGGCCGTCAAAGCCATAGAAAGACTGTATAGTGCCGTTTCCAGATGAACATCAAAAACTATTGAGCGCCAGTGCACTAGGGCTTTTTGTTCGAAGTTAGGGATAATGTTTCGTCTCCACCAAGCGGTCAATCCTTCTCTTTAAGGAGTGTAGAGTTGCCAGTGTCGTCACCTGATGGCACATTGCATAATTTATTGGATAACTTTACGACTTTCTGGTTACTCCCAGCACTCTTGAAACTCCCTTGGTTCGTTTTTATGCCCGTCTTGCCGCTATTTCTCGATATACAGTAGCCACATAGGTCCCGGTTGTGGTCCACATCTCTGCCTTTCTCTTACTGGATTTCCTGGCCCTCGGGTGCTGGATGACGTTATTACGCTGTGTACTCCACTAAATGAACGGTGGTAGTCCTGACACTAGCCTCTTACTGTTGGTGTCCAGATGTTGACGGTGAAGTCTTGAAACTATAGCGACTTCAATTCTTCCGTGGTGGCCCTTCCAGCATACTTTTGCAAAAATGGCTTGCCAAAGGTTCTGGCTTTCCTTTTTTTGTCCCAGGCCCAGCATTTTCGCCAAGGTCTTCGCACTTCAGCTTTGTCAATGAGGGAACACACTGCCCTGACATTGCTCTCCGGCATCCACGACCAGCAATCACGTGTGTTGTGTAATCGCTCAGACGCCATTCGGCCAATCACGTGCGGCCAGGGGCTCACTCCTCGAGCGAATCCTGATTTCATCAAGCCCGTGGTAGCAATGACCCTTCCCGACAGAAGGATTACGAAGGAAAGCGGCTGTTCATTGCACCCGGCTCCTGGCGAACGAGTGTTGATGACCGAGCCAGCTGGACCACATGCAACGTGGACGCCACAAGGGCAGTGGATGAGGAAACCACAGAGGGAGCCGACACTTAGTATTACGTCAATCGCGCAAGTTGCCCGAGAGAAGCGCGCGCGAGAATTTGCATGCCGCGAGCGCAGCGCACTTCGACCCCGCCGACACCTGCAGGTGCGGGTACACACATGCGCGTGGAGCTGCTCGCGACGACCACAGCAAGCCGCATGAACCGCGTGGCAAACCGCGCCAGAGAACGACGTCGGAAGATGGCGGGCTTGCCGAGCCCGCGGCGCGTTCTGACGCGGCGTACATGATCTACTTAAGAAGTGAAGGCCGTGAAGGAAGCAATCCCTGGGGGGTGAAGAGGTTGGCGGGGCCAAGATGGCGGCGACCAGGAACTGGCGGGGCGACGACACTGTCCGCCGACAGGGACGCAACAAAACGTGCCGAAAGCGACGGCAAAGATGGAGAGCGGAAGATGGTCACGGGGAATTATGCGCCGGCGACACGTGGAAGACGAGATGAAGCAACACTGTCCGCCGCGAACGGCGAGTGAAAGAGTCCCGAGCTGCGGTAGTGAGCGCAGTACGGTGACCCGCGTCGGATATTGGAAGGGATGCGTCGGTCATCGAAAGCAGCAAGTTACAAAGCGAGGCACGGTGTTTGAGCGCCGAGAAATGAAAGCATAAAATGAGACAGGAAAGCACGGATCTCTTCCTCGCAGAAGAGAGATGGAGGGAGTGGGTGAAAGGGGAAGTGACGATGCCGTAAGAGCGAACGGGCTCCCAGAACTCGTGGCGGCTCGTCGTGCGGCGGCGGAACCGAAAATAATGCCGGCCTTGCAGTAGGCGGCCGTTGAAACAAGCAGCACACAGAAAAACCGGCGGGCCCGGCGAGGCTAGGGCGGGAGGGCACGCCTCGCGGTCGACAGGAGCTCCGGGAAAAAGTGAAAGTGACGGAGCTGGAATTGGCCCTTCCTGCCTCGATGGCTGGCTCACTCGCAGGCGCAGCACAAGCGTCGGAGGCGGCGGTCAAGCACCTTTGCATGTCCGCGCGAGACCATCCGCATTTTCTTGCCGGGGGTGCCCCCGTGGCGTTTATTAAATAATTCGCGCGTCGAGAAGCATGGCTGGGCGAAAAAAAAAAGGCCTATAAAAAAGCGTGTACAAAAGCAGCGCTTATTTGCGGCTCGGTGTCTTCGATACGCGGCGCTGTACACAAGGCGTCGGTTCCCCCTTTTGACTCAGCGGGGAGGCCTTCGTAGTTCGTGTGGGGCCGGAGTGCTCCGTAGAGGCGGTGAGGAACCCATCGGGAGCCGGGGCTCTTCTTATTCGGCCCGGTGCGCTGCATGGGGGTGCTAAAATGAGCAATCAGCGCGGCCGGGGCACGCGAGTTCACCTCTGAAATTGCTTGTTGCACCGACAGCGACAGACGTAAGCGGAAGCGATTGGTAGCGCAAGAAACACAGACACAAGAGAAGACAAGAAAAGGCATACGAGCTCTCGCATGTCGCCTCTCTCTCGTATGTCACCTCTTGTCTTCTTTTTTTGTGCTATGTTTCTCGCGTTACGAATTGTTTCTGGCGCATGAATAACAGGCTGAAATTCACACAATTAGTAAGGAGAATTTCATTTCGACTCAGGCTTCCTTCGATGCAGTAGAGCGCGGCAAGCGAAACCACCTGGTGCTCAGACTTACGTTCCCGATATGACGAACCTGGCGGCCGTTTCCAAATGCGCTCTGCAAAATTCCGCAACATAACGTAAGGTTTTATGAGAGCAACAAGTGACCGCGACCCGTTAGTAGCACGAAGCCATAGAGATATCGATACGGATTTCTAATAAAAGAAAGCTTCTAACTGAAGAAAAGTGAGTCCTGGTTTCGGGATTAAACCCATGACCAACGCTTCGTGGGGCGGCCGCTCTATTGATTGAGCTAGTAGTAAACTAGGACCCGTAGTCGTAGACATGGGACACACGTCTTTACATAGCAAGGACTTACTCCAAATCCCGGTTACTTCCTTTTCACTTCCCGTGCCTCACCCCAGCATTTTCAACAGAGGTAACCAGGAGTGCGAGGGTGTACTAGTCAAGAAATCGAAGCACGTGTACGCAGAATATTGCAAGTTAAGCTTTCCCTGATGACGAATTCGTACGAATTTCTTAGGAACTTCGTGCTAAGAATTCGGGATTATTGAAAGGATGGTGTGTTAAGATTCAGATTCTGCATTACGTAGACTGGAAAGAAGGCAGATGCGAGCCTGTTTTATGCATAGGGAGAAGTGCGAATAATGCGCAAATGCTTACTCAAAAAAAAAAAAAACAGCTTTCACTTGCCGTACACTTCGCAGTCGAGATATGAATAGTGGGTAGTCCCTGCAATAATCACCAAGATAGCTACTAAATCAGCTCCTCGAGTGTCATTTGTCTAAGTTGGCTTTGCCGCATTAATACGCCACGTACGGAGAAGAATACCATACATGTACATGTGTGTTTTTATATGTGTCCGAGCACGCGTGCGTGTTAGTGTGTGGGCTTGTGTTCATGAGAGCACACGTATGTGCGTGGAACGAAAGAAAAAAAAAGAGTACTGGAGGAGTGAAGGCGTTCTCACTCGTCTCCAGACATTCACTCACAATCACCCTTTGGAGGCTGAAGTTACAGGGAGGAAAGGCGCAGCCATGGCAATCGAGAGACGAGATAACGATGCGGCAGCCTGTAGGGGTGTCCCTTCGAATGCACCTCGTACTCCTACCGGTGCACAACCCGTACAAGTGACGGCGCCTATTGATTTCACAGGGCTGCGAGTCAGCTGACGGCTGGTGAAACCGAAAGACAGGAATGCCCGGCGGGGGTTGTTCGCTTCACTTTCTCCGCCGTCCGAGTAACACGCTTTGAAGGGTGTGCTTCGAAAGGTGAGGAAAATGAGAGGATCCATCGCAAGGACGGCCGACTCGATCGGAGGTCGTCAATTATTGTGGAGCACCGAGAGCGCGTCAAGGGTTGTCCGATGCGGTGGCGGCTGTCTTGCCCTACACCGAAGGCGGGGCCGCATCAAGTATACGATTTCACCGACGGTGCTAGCGTTGCTTTCGAGGAAACTTCAGCTGCCGCTGCAACCGAGAGGAGCTTCGTCGATCCTAACAAGTTTTCTTGCGAGAGTTGGCTCGACTTATTTGCTTCATCATGGATACGACATGAAGAACACAATGGCATCGTCAATGCTTACTGTCCCTGAGCGGTAAACGCCGGAGTCCTCGCCCACATTTAGTGAATACGGGTCCCTACGGGTATTCGAATGATCTGAGACCTTTGGCCACGTACCTTGCTTGTTACGTAGCTCTACGTTGGCAAAAAAAAAATGCCAAGCGCTTTTTTGAGTTGTCATGAAGCGTCAAGCGGTACGCCATACACCAATATATCTGATTTTTTTTTGTGGTTTTGGAAAGATGCTGTATCTGAAGGGAGGTGTTTCGTGCATACTGTTGAGAGACAGAGAGAGAGAGTAAGAAAAAAAAGCATGGAAGACAATTGATTTCTCCAGATTTACTACCGTACGTTGTGGAAGTACACTGTGAAAATGGTAGAAGAGAATAGACAAATTAAAAAGGAAATAGAGAACAACTAATGCACTTGAACGCGTGGCAGCTTCACCGAGAGTACCCAGAAGGTCTTGAACCACGGACCATTTCAGTGTCCGATTCGTCTGCAGTTATCTTAGAAGAACGAGACGGCAATCTGTGACGTTAATGAAGACTTACAAGGACTGGCTCCAAGATATTCGGAACTTGCAGTGTCCCTAGAGCTGATAGGGGTTGTCATTTCGTTTAGAAGTGTGCGTACCATAATTATCAAGTCGTCAACGCAGCGATCACATGTTGCAGACACCATGATTGGAATCTTGTGCCACCTCTCTGTGAGTGCACTGACCTTCCGTGCGAATGGTAATTCTGAAAACACAAAAGTGTACTTTCAGCCTTGCCCCTGTGACATGGTAAGCTGGAAGGTAGTGTTATACTTTCAGATACCTACTTTTTGCAAAGCGCACTGAGCCATTCAAGAATTAAAAGTGTGACGTTATCAATGGTTACTGCCGAGGACAACAGCAAGCCACTCCGCACGACCGACAGTTTAAGCGTTTCACGGGGCGTATATAAATTAGAAAGGATAGATTAGTACGATGCTCGCGTGTTGGCAACAGCTGTTGCAAGAGCCGCCACTCTACGGGAACATGAATCTCACACGAGGTCATAAACATACACTTCTGCGGGACGATGGGTGCAGCATGCGAAGTGGCTGGCCTACTTCTAAGACGCATTTGGTTGACGCGTTCATGGTACGACAACAACTGATAAAATCGATATACCCATGAGGAAGAACCAGCGCAATCTGTGGCCAAAGCAATGGCCGTCTTAAAGAGCGAGTGGATTCCAGCACCATCGGTATCTTAGAGTAGGGGAGTTGGCTTGGCCGGCGCTGGGCGCTTGTTTTCGGCGTACGCGTCGCTTGACCTTTCGGCTTTCATCACGAGTAGCGCTTTTATAATGCGTTGCGAGGCAACGCGTGTCTGGCGTTTCCATTGGAGATCTGTCGTCCGATAAGAATGCGAACAACAGCGCTAAATGCTCCAGGCCTCAGTATAGAATAATTTACGCCTTTGTTCGCAAACGTGCACGGAGGTTTATGTAGCCGTGTCCCGCTGAGTGCCCTCAATGCTACAACGACTAGCCGCCACGCTCGCCGGTACGGCATGTTCGCATGGACGTTCCAGATATGGTGTTCATCAAAAACTTGCTTATTACACACACCCTTCGCGTATAAGTATTAGTGGCTGTATAAACAGCAACATCGTTACTCATCATGCAGAGTCAGAAATCGCTGCTGCCCCGCCACAAAGGACACGGGCCTTTCTGTACGAGGTGATGCTCCCAGAGGATCCATACGAGGCCTGTTCCAGATAGGTGTGATCGACCCCTGCGTGCGGCCATTGAGAATCCGCCGGCCATCGTATCTATATGCAAAGACGATCGGGGATAGCCCGGTGCACCCGCTACGCGTGTTCGGCTAAAGAAGAGTGCCCTTCTTCAGCCACACGCGTGTGCCAGGGGAGTGCATGGCAACTTTGTGGCGCTTTCGTTGCAGCCGGCTCAGGACGTTCGATGGTAATTTAGCGCGATCGTGAGTGAGCCTAAGAAAGATCACCAGGCCAGCATCTGCTGAACAATGAGAACAGTAGGGAGGAGAAAAAATAGAAAGTAAGTAATTATATAGAAACAAAACAACCCAGTTGCGGTTTGCCAGCCTGCAGCAAGGGAAATAAATAAAGCTTGACCATAGTCACTGGTTAGCCTTCAAGTACTTAGAGTAGGCGTGTCATGCAGAGTGTCTTGCTAGTTAAAGCAATTGGATTTATTTTTCGATTCTGGTCATGCAGTATTGTCTGTTTTGCGAATAAAACCTGCAATACCACCGTTTTAAATTCGAAGTATTTCTTTGCGCACTGCAACCACTTTTGGTGTCTGTCTGTCTCTGTGTCTGTCTGTTCGTCCGTCCGTCCGTCCGTCCGCTCACGTCTGTGTGCTCGCGCGATCACCCCCTTGACTTGGCGTGAACCAAAATCAGTACGAGGATTTGACTAATATGACGCGCTGGTCAAAACATGAATAATGTCACAACCCTGTTGCGTACGTCGTCAAACACTTTCCGCCAGACAGTGGTACATACCCACGGGCGGGTATGTGCCACTGGTAGGCGAGTATGTGCCACAGATGATTCACGCTTAGTATCTATCCTGGAACGGCGAGAACACAGCTGGGTAATTTTAAAGCATGAATGATAATAAAAAGCTAACATCAGCAGCTTTGACTTGTCGAATGCAAAGAATAAGTGTTAGTGTCCCAGCACAAATCGAACCTAAGCATTCTGCGTGGCAATCAAGAATTCCACCACTGAGCTACGCCAGGTCTCGGAAGCACTTTTCAAATAGGTGCTACTGTTTGCAAAACGTCCACCATGGTTACAGTGATGGCTATCCCATTTTATAAACATTAGTTTATAAACTCCTATGATACAGCCGTCACGTCGGGTTAACATCAATTTGAGTTACGTGCCATCCGCTCAAGTTGACATTATGCAGCAGTGTCCACGGCTACCATACTCGCTAGCATCAGCGCTTCGTATGAGCTTATCGCTTCTGGGTGTTGTTAATACTCATGTTCCTGCTGAAATCATTGCGCAAGTGCAAACAACTCGTTATATAAACACCTCCAACTGTTCAGCATATGTCGGTGTGTGCAACATTTGTACATACATTTAGCCTAACTTCATAACATGTCGCTCAATAAAAAAATTGAAACACGGTCACCTTCCCTCCACTTATTGTCGATTGCCAAGGTATGATCTGCCGAATTTTATTCAGTATTTATTCTCGCCATGAATACAATTTTTACGGATAGATAAGTGTTTGCCGTGTATAATATACATGCAGAAGGTTCAGCGATTATGCACGCCTTCATGCTTGCAGTGTGTCCTCATCAAAATGGGATATAAATAGTAGAGCAGCACAGCAAAAGACACTGCAGAAGTCCTGGTCTGTCGTTTGCGTCAGTTAGGTTATTGATAGCTTATTGGTGGCGTACCATGACAAAGCAGCAGCACGGAAGCGGGCTGTGTTCTTAAGCTGTGTTTGGTACTAGTACTGCAGCTTCCCTTTCCCGAATAGTCTTACCCTATAAACTATCGACCTTACGAACGCTCTTAATCCTACTATCGATAGCGGTTGTAATTAAAGGATTCGAGGAAGGCTAAGAACTGTCACTGTACACGTACCTGTACCCATCGAAGCCTTCGTTGGAACCGTTGATGGTGAGAACGGACGCGCGGGCGTACGCCTTTGCGACGCGTCGGTTGCGCTCCATGCAGATGATCTTGGCCCATATTTCGTCGTCGATTTGGCCCCATTTGTTCAGAACCTCCTGAATGTGGTCCTGCAGAAAGAGACAAAAAGAAAGAACGTGTAAGTCACGTCGTTCGCGGCGCATTATACTAATTCGGTTTAGAACTCGAAACGCCGCAAAAGATTTATAAAACGCACATGACTTACGAAAAAGAAATGATCGCAAAAACATAAAAGCAAAAGTATATGCATTAGAATTGTGTGGTTGCATCAGCAATTGCGGCATAGGAAGAATTGCATTCCGATACAGTAGTAAACGTACCGTAAGCTGACCAATGTCATAAATACTGAATCACACGGAAACAGTGGCCATATTAATACAAACATATTACGCAGGAATGTTCGAAATAAGAATTTCAGCCAATCTCAATGCTAGGAAAATCACCAGTGAAGCCGCCCGTTCAATGGACACATTACACAAGTTTACGAAATGTAAGATCTGTAAACTCGACGGCAGAACTATAGACGACGAGGCTTGAACTTGATTTCCGTTCAACCGTAAGCAGACTAACGTCAACCTTTATTGAACTTAAGCTACGTTCGATCCACTTGCTACGTACCTGACGTCACCACACCAACAGGACAAGGGTATCATTATTGTCAGGAATGAACAAGGAAGGTGAGCAATACAAGCTGGACATGTTTTTGAACACGCACGAAGAATCATAATTCGAAGTGCATTGTGCGACTTCTACAACAGTTCATTTTACACACCAGTTTTTTTTTGTATACATATATACAGCCGTTGGAAAATCATTCGTGAAGACCTCTGGCGAACTCTAGCTTATCATTGGTAATAGCGTTTATTTAAGGGAATTAGGCAAAGACATGTCTACCATCACGATTTCATGGTGTATGCGCTGTTACAAACAATTCTAACCTACGAACTTTTCGAGATCATGGAACCATATATTATTAACCCGCTTCAAGCTATTACACAAGCCTCATGGTGCTAATGAGAGCATAGCGCGCACGAAGACCGTAATTGCACGCACTTACCCACTTGTACGGCGTAAGAGCCAGCAACAAGGCGCGTCACGAACTGATTTGACCCACCGTTGCTCCGATAACCTCCGAGGCGAGTGACAGTGGGTATGCACGCCAGCTACAACCATCACGAAGGGACGGCCTGGCAAAGGCCGTCCCTTCACAGAGAAGGTTGAAGCATATGACGCACTCGACTGTACGTGTAGCTCTTCAGAAGGTTACGACGCACGAGATTGACCTGCAGTCCCGCAGCAACTTCAACTGTGCAACAGGTGCGCTAGTGGGAATTTTCGGGGTGGGTGGCAGAAAGAGGGGGGGGGGGGGGGAGACGTGATCCAGTTTATCGTTAACTGTCCAGTCGGCGCTGACAGAAGGGGTCTGATGCTCTCGAAGTAAGTTCAACAGGAGCTTGTGTTTTGACCTGAGAGCATCTGGCTGACCGATTGCCCATAAACTGCACAGGTCATCACGTGGAGCCAGTGCGCAATCATGCCTGTTCTACAGAAAAGACCACACTGCTCCGAGAGACGAGTTAACAGCCCACCTCCTCGCTGTCATTCGCGCTGCGGAAGCCTTTATGTTCCAACCATGTAACGTTCGAAGACTTGGCGAAGAGGAGTGACCTCTCGAAGGGAGCAACAGGGTGTGTTCAACAGCTATGCAGCACCGCATCGAATTAGCCAAACTAGCACGGGCGAGAACAGTTGTTTCACCGGCATCGGAGCAGTATCTCTCGTAAGCATCCATATAGTGGCGCGATTGCCTATAGTTTATGTTACCTTCCTTCGAGCGTCTGACCTCTGGCGAAACGCCGGAGTCGTTTACGGCTTCATGTTTCGAACCTGTCTGGTATACGGTTTATGATGCAGGACGCAGATGCCACGTGTTCGGCGAAGTGTGCCCAATATATACTAAAGCTGGTCGCTATCGCGAGCAGCGCCTAAGTGATGCACCGTTACGCTGCGGCGCCCGGCCAAGCCCTCCTTGCCCTGTATACAGCTCTCCGCTTGACCCTACGACCATAAACTACTGGCAAATTGACGGTTGCCGCGGCAGATGCCTGCCGTGTACGATTACTAAGCTTATAGGGCCAAAGATATCCATGTCTGGCTATAGCTCTTTTTGCGCTACGTCAGCTGTTTCTTTTTCTTGGTACCTTCATGTTGAACAAATATCGTTGTCCGTCAGAGTCGACGAGTTCTGCCCGACAAATCGTACCCTTCAAAACATGCGTTGCAAGCGACGCCCGCCGCAGCCACTTTTATTATGTTCTGGCGTCACACCAGTCGCAGTGATGCGACGTGTTGTTATACCGGCTTCGTGAGGCTGCGGTGCGCGGAAAACGGTAGTCTGCAGCACGGGCAGCCTGATACGCCAGTGTGATGATTTGACAGGGTTTGTCATGTCTAGCTGGCTATCGATCAAAAATTAATCAACAGCTCATTCATTTCAGTGAACTCTAATGAAGCCGATAGTGCTGCCACAACGGCCGACAGACAACTTAGAACTACAACTGCCTGCAGCAGCCAGAATTATCCATTGTTGTCGACATTAAGTATATTGTGGCTGCAGCTGAGGAAGACCTCTATGCTCTAATAAAGTGGGTAGACGAGGACCGGAAAGGCATCGTTTGGTGAAGACGCACAACTGCTTCTTATTCTTTCACACAGGTGGGTTCGAGTTAACATTCATTTAGAATCATGTTCCCGTCCTGCTTCCTGGCCCAAGTATGTAGGAGTACTACAAGTCTGTGTGTGTTCGTAATAACTGTCAAGCTCGGGCGTTAATGAACGGCTTGCCCCTTACCTCACAGCTTTTTTTATTGTTATATGTTTAAAGCCTTTATTGCCATTGGCCTTCGCAGACAGCGGAGAAGAGCACCTTACGCAATGACCCCCGCTCGCGGCGATGATGGACGCCCACGCGTTCTCAAGGTTAGTGACATTCTCGGTGGCGAGCGCGGTAGAAGGCCTATAGTACGAGGTCGCAGGCATTAGCGGGGATTCACGACAGACATGAAAGGATGTAACAAACATCCCGTCGTGTTTATTGCGGGGGTTGGTGAATCTCTGTATCAATACACACGCTGCCGCGCGATATAGTTATAAAAGTGCACGAAGACTCGCGCAATTTCTCGCAGTGAACCTGAAATTAGTGCAAAGAATGAAGGAAACCGGCGAAGAGAATGGAAGCCAGGAATGGGCACCACTTCAAAATCACTGGTACGCGCTACCCTACCCGTGGGAAAGCAGCGGTAGAGGAGGTTAAAAGTTAGCTTGCAAGAGAGAGAGAGGACCTTAGGAGCACACATATATAAGAGACGTCACAGTCGGCCAATGTCGTGCGGTATTCGACATCGCTATTGGTCTACCGGTGATTGTGTGCAAATTAGTAAAAAAAACCACGTAAAATACAACACAATAATTGAGGCAACACACGATCACTTCGTTAGTGTTTTGAGTGGTTGCACGGAAAAACTTGCGCGCACTGGCGCTGCTACGAAGCGTGTGCCAATAATAACAGAGGATGGAGTTGCGACGATGGTGGGAGGTCGTCGCGACTAGTGAAGCAAGTTTGTTGTCATGAATGCATGAGCCGCAAGTGGCCTCGTTGAATGGTGTACGCAAACGTAACATTAACTGATTAAAAGAGTGAGAGCCGTGTACGAAACCACGCAGTCAATAAAACAACTGCGAGAAGACAACTGTGGTATTATGCTGAACGCAAGTGTTGCAGAGTCTGATTCCATTATTAGTACGGCCTCGTGGTACAAGAAACATATTTCAACTTACATCAGGTTCGAAATAGAAGAAATGCCTAGGACACACGCACAATGGGATATTAGAGAAAACATCGATTAAATTGAAAGGAAGGACGAATCAACCCATAAAGAATCAACATTGTACAAAAACAACACTACGATCATTACGTACACAAAACAATAGAAGAAAAGTAAAGTAAGGTGGACGGATCTGTCTCAGACCCGAACTACCTTGGACGGCCTTGCCGTGGCGTCATCGCCACTTGGCGTCCTTCGCGTCGCAAATAAACAAAACAAAGAAAGAGGAAAAGAAAAGAAACAAACAAAAAAAGAACCTCAAGCATATGCTTCGTCTCGACAACATGCGCACGCCCGGCCAGAGGACTCGGGAATCGATTTGCTAATTGCTACTGCGTCCGCCGGCACAGCGCGCGACGATCAGCGAGCGATAAATACCCTCGCACTCGGTACTCCGCACAAGAATACGCGGTCCCCTCGGTCGGTCGCCATTAGCACCGAGGCGGTTCGCCCTCTTTTATTAGCTTTAGCTATTCGATAATTTCTCCTCTTCCCAGTACGACTGCAGTGCACAAACTCAAGGCTTAATAAGCCCTCAATAGCCCGCGAACAGCCACCGGTGAAATGCCAACCCCCCTCGCCTCTGTCGATTCCTCCTCTCCCAGCTGGGACGACACGACACGACGGAACGTAATGCCTATATGTGCATATGCAGCTAAACGCCCGCCATGCCCTGACACGCGCGCTCCGTACGACTAATGGCGGACACGGCAGCATTGATCGCGAAGCCAACGACTGGGTCATTTTGTCCCTTTCTCTACGGTTTCCGGCCTTCCCAGCAGTGTCCAGCGCGTTTGGCTACAGGGGGAAACTCGCATGCTCCGCATGTAGCTTTTATCTTCGACGCGCGTGCGACCTGCTTGGCACGTTCCCATCCCGCCTTGGCCCCGATCGCGAAACTGTCCCCTGCAGCACACGTTGCCTGCCTCCGGGCGCTGCTGAGCGGCGTATACCGGCGCTGGCTGACCATCGAAGTCGTTCGTCGTCGCAGGGAGGCCCAGCAGTGGACGGCGCTGGACGCGTTTGGCAAACACCGTTTTCGCCGCTGCCCCGCGTGCGCTGCACTGGAAGTGTGTTGGCTGTGTCGCACCGGCTTCATTTGGCACGATGGTTAAAGGACAGCCCAGGCGAGAAGCTCATTCTCACGGTCTGGCCAGAGATTCCTTTACTTACTGTTACATTTTCTTTTTACGTCTTCTGGGTCT